AAATTAAAAGATTACACTTTCATTCAATGTATAAAATTACAATGATATGAATCACCAAAAAAATGTTAAAATAAATAGATAATCACAAATCGTAAAATAAATAGATAATCACAAATCCAATATTAACGTAACAATTTTATAATCTTGATTTAATATTTTCATTTCAGTTGATAAACATAATAATTTATCACGTCAATATATATTATCACAAGAACTACAAATTAGACAAACTAAATCACTTATGGAACGTACAAAATAATTTAGAATATTACATTTTCATTCGATGTATAAAATGACTGAAATAATAAACAAGATAATCACAAAATCCACATTCTATGGTAACTGTTTTCTAAAATTGCCATAAAACTAGCATTTTCACGAGATAAACAGTCTTTGATATCTATCACATCAATTTATAATATCCAAAATATTTTATTTCATATTTCTTGATGTTAAAAGATATTTGTTGCTCTTAAAAACGAGTGTGGGGATAATATATATCCTATCACAGCCATACAAAAAAGCACCTATACAAACATAAAAAAAAAAAATATATATATATATTTCATGACTAAAATTTAAAATGTTTATTACTTTTTAATTCATCTCATTCGATTTATAATATTCCACAAAATAATTACTGCCCGTGCATCGCACGGGTTACACGTACTAGCATAAGAAAAAAAAATTGACTATTACATGGTGAACTAAATAAGTAACACTATTATTTTTGTTTTGTTATGTAAGAAATAAATATATTTATTAAAATTTTTATTTATATTAATATAAACATGTTAGCGTAACATATTGATTAACATACAGGCTATCCCTTACGGGTTGGCAGAAAAAAATTACAGTGATTAAAATATGTGAGAAATAGATGATCCAATTTTATTATTTAAACAAAGAAATCAAATTTCATTTTCCTTGCCTGAAGCTTCTCTTCCATTAGGATTTGTCGTGTTCCCATCGTTCGGTAACCGAGACTTGATCCTTTCTGATCCGTCGAGCGGGAACGCGATATTCCGCTGTTTCAGTTACTCGTGATCATGGAGAAAACCCGGTGGAGCTCCAACGTGCCCATCTCCTCATGTGGAGGATGGAGCCCAATTGTTCGCCGATAATTGTTTTGGAGTGATCATATATGATTTTGATCGATGAACTTATTCATAGATTAGAGATATTTTGTATCATAATATTCTTTTAATTGTCCACAATTTTCGTGTACTGTTAGGAATATATGTTAGATAATTATGGATACAAAATACACAGTATTCCTAAAATTTAGCCACATTTAAATCTATCACGTGAAAATTTGTTTACTAATTAACAATTGACAATATCCGGTTGTTTACCAATTAACAATATCCGATTGTTTACCAAAATCTTATCCGATTGTTTACCAATTAACAATATCCGATTGTTAACAATATCATGTGATTGTTTACCATATCACGTATCAATTAACACTATCCGATTATTTTCCAAAAAAAAAAAAGGAAGATAAATTTATTACTATAATAAAAATCGGATTTGGCTAAAAAAGAGGAAGTGAAATGATAAAATCGGATTTGGCTAAAAAAAAGGTGATAAAATCTATTACCATATAAAACATTAGCCAAATATTTCAAATAAAATTTGAGGGGGAAATTAAATATTTGAGCGGCAAAATGAAATTAATTTTATGTATTTTTTCAAATCTTTTTTCTTAACTGTATTATATAGTAATAGATATTGCTTTCAAATTTCATTTTTTTAACTCAACATTGTACGTGGTTTTTAAACAAATTTTCCTAAATTAGTTAGTCAAACTTTCTATTTAAGTATTTTTCCAACAATCTTTTTATATTAGTATAAATTTGACCAAATAGTGAACCTATGACCTATCAAATTAGAACAGCTCATAAACCCTAATCCATATAAAAGACCCCCTATTACGAAAACCTCATTCTGTAAACTCCCTCCATTTTGCCGCACTTTTCTCAACCCCAAAGCGCGCACAGGTTTGCTCGAATCACACACACATTTGATTACAGGGATCTTTTATCAGTAGGTAGAGACGGGAAAATGGATCAGGACCAGCAATGGTTGATCAATTGCTTGAACGCATCACTCGATCCCAGCCAACAAACTAGAACCTTCGCTGAGACTTCGCTTCAGCAAGCGTCCCTTCAACCAGGTGACTTAATTAAATCGTTTTCAGATCTCACAAGCGTTTGATATTAATGTTCTTTCCAGAGATGGAATTTGTTGTTGTATGAGTGGAATTCCCCCGTTTATGAACACAAAAGAGAAATCTTGAATGGATGTGATTTTATGGAATTTTGAGAAATGTAGGATAATCGAGAGCAAGTTCCAATGGATAAAGTTTGCATTTTCTTATTTTATTTTTGGGATGCTACTATAAACTTTGCTTCAGTTATGATGTTGATTTAATAAATTGAAGACTGATGCCAAGTTTGCTGTGCAACAATGTCATTTTATGACTAAAGGTGAAAGCTTTAATTGCTAAATCACCTGTAACAGCAGATTCATTGGTTTATTGTTTTCCGCTTATTTTCTAGAGGATCACTGTTGTTTCCTTTTTAGTATGACTTTACTGTTAGTTGATAACCAGTGGCCACTGTCTCGAGGATCTAGACACCTTGACAAATTCTCTGTGCTTTCTTTACTTTTATGTTATTTATTGCAGTACGAGATATCGAATTGATTTTACGTTACCTTTTGAATATTTGCAAAGGTTATGGTGTTGCTCTTGCTAGAATTGCAGCTCACCGGGAACTTCAATTTGGGTTGCGGCAGATATCCTTGATGATGCTGTGATTTAAATATATAATTTACTTTTTTTTTTTTTACGTAATTTACTACTCCTATGCGTTACATATAGTCCAGTCCAGTTCTTTTTAGCTTAGCCATTGTGAGATTAACACGCATTCACCTAGCAGCAGTTTTGCTGAAACAATTTATCAGAAAACACTGGAATGAGGATGAGGAAGGCTTTGAGCATCCCGTTGTTGAGAGCAATGAGAAGGTGCACTCGAAAATATATCAAAGCTGTTATACAATTTGTAGATAAGATCCACCTTTTTGAATAATATGTTTTTACTTTATTAAAAACCTACTTAAAATGTATCCTGAGCTGCAGTATATTGACAATATTTCTTGTCTTAAATCTTTGTTTCACGTTTCTTTCTGAGGTAATATGGAATTAATGAAGATATCTAGTCTTGCTTAATGCTTAGAGCTTTAGATACTTTGTTCTCTACTATATATCTGGGTATTAAATTTGACGAACTTACGTTTCTGCTCAGCTTGACTGGCATTGATAATTTGGAGACATGTAAGATAGATGAAGCTGGAAAGGGTTGATTACATGTTAATATATCACATATTTCTCTTATTCTATCAGGCAGCTGTGAAAGGACTACTTTTATCATTGCTTGATGATCCTAGTAAGAAGATCTGCACTGCAGTAAGTGTGGCTGTATCGGCGATTGCGCAGTATGATTGGCCAGAAGATTGGCCTGAATTAGTGCCTTTTCTTTTAAATTTAATTAACGACCAGAGTAAACTGAATGCTGGTGAGTACTTAATATGTCTTTATAATATGCTAAACATTTCTCGAAAGTAAAGGGGAACTTACCTTTTTGTTTTATGCAGTACATGGAGCTTTACGATGCTTGTCTCTTCTTTCCTCGGACATGGATGACAAGATGGTGCCCCAACTAGTCCCAGTTTTATTCCCATGCTTGCACGCGATTATGTCCTCTCCTCAGGTTAACCTTGTCCATTACCTTGCATGTTGTATTTATGGAGATTGTCGATTGCATTCAGAAGAAGTCTAAAATGTTTAAATCTTTTAGGGAAAGAGGTAATTAAGGCTGGCAATGGAAATGGACACCGACTTACCGAAAACACATAATTTATTTTTGGTTTTTTGTGGATATTTATTATTAGTTTTATGTTTATTTAGCTTCTAATGAAGCACTGGTAACAAATTTTAATATACAAGGAAATTCAATAGGTCCTTTTTGCTTTCCACATAGTTATTTTTATTTCATTCTACTTTTTATTTATTTTGTACTTCATGTATTTTTTTATCTTCTGTTGCTTACAAATACACTGCTAGATTGCCCCTAGAATTCATTAATGTTGTGATATAGAGGGTACTCTTCGATCAACTTCTTATCTATCTGTGGATTCAAATGACCAGATCTATGACAAAAGTCTGAGGTCTAAAGCTCTGTCAGTAATTTATAATTGTACTTCAATGATTGGGGCTATGAGTGGTGTGTACAAGGTATTCACTTAGCTCAACCAATTGATAAAATGCACATAATTTATTGGGAAAAAAAAAAACCATACTTACTTGTTTTGTGGTAAGTAGACAGAAACAACTGCCCTAATGTTACCATTGCTCCAACCTTGGATGGACCATTTCTCGTCAATCTTGAAACACCCGGTGCCATCTGAAGATCCTGATGATTGGAGCATACGGATGGAGGTTTATTTTTTCCTAGTTCCTTTTTTCTTTAAATTTTCTTGATGATGTCCGTTCACAGACTGTTGACTTCTACCAATTCATTTTACCGGCTGTCCAGGTGTTGAAGTGTTTGAATCAGTTCATTCAGAACTTTCCCACCATTACAGAAACTCATTTTGCAGGTATGTAGATCAAGTGTTCTGGTATAGTACCCTGGTTATGATGATACATTGTTTCNCCCATCCTTTTGTTCTTATTCTCATAGTTTCTCATTCTGGCGGTATTTCAGTAATTCTGGGGCCATTGTGGCAAACACTTGTATCATCGTTGGGAGTTTATGAGCGCTCAGTGATTGAAGGCGTTGAAGATTCCTATGATGGTCGGTATGATTCTGATGGTGCTGAGAAAAGTCTTGAGTCCTTTGTTATCCAGGTTAGTACACTCTTGTTCTATGAAGTTTGGTCAAGGATAAGTATCATCAAATAAAACTTCATGACTAAACTGTAAACTGGTGCTGACTCCTTACAGTGACAGGTTTTGTTTCTTTCATCTGGTTGGAACATATCTAATCATAGAGCTGGGTCTGAAAGGGTTGTTGTCATTTTCTTCTTTCCTGAAATTGTGTGTAGAATGTGTGCGGTGTGTATGTGTTAAATGTGTGTGGTGTGTGTTCGGTGTATAGCATGTCAGCTTGAGAGTGTATAGCATGTTTGTGAATGCATGGGAAGTGTGTGTAGCATGTGCTTGTATTGTGTGTATAACACTTGTGTATTGTGCATGTGTGAACTTTGATGACAATTAAAGATCTTAATAGAAAATTGTTCATCTTTTGGTTGGGTGATTGTGGAATAATTGCATTTTTGTATTTGACATGCAATTCCTGGTCTTTGGGTGTGCAGTTGTTTGAATTTTTATTGACTGTTATTGGAAGCCCGAGGTTTATGAAGGTATGCTGCAAAGCCAACTCCCTATTGTCTTGCTCTGGATTCCACTTTCGGATTTTTCGGAAGTCTTTATTTTCTCATGTAGGTTGTTATGAACAATTTAAAAGAGTTAGTCTACTACACTATTGGTTTCCTTCAAATGACGGAACAACAGGTACTCCCCCTATACCCCTCTCTCTAAGTTTATATCCGAATGTGTATATGCTGCGGTTGGGCCCAATGATACTGTGACATTTTCTTTTGTTGAGTGTTTCCACCTGTTTTTCTTAGATTTTTTTAGTTTTGAAACTTAGGGTGAGCAATTTTGTATTAAAGTTTCAACTTGCTTTTCTAGTTAGTCTGCTGCTAGCTACATATGCATGATCTATTTTTACTGTCAAAGATACTACTTGTGAGATTACTTTTTATAGGAGCAACTCAAGTCAATTTCTTCTTTCTTTTCTTTGTACTTCTCATCATCTTTTGTTTGTATGACATGGATGTAGGTTCATACCTGGTCCCTCGATCCTAACCAGTATGTCGCTGATGAGGATGACAATACTTACAGTTGTCGTGTATCTGGTAAATAGTTTCTGGAATTGGCAATACTTTGTTCCTTAATTTCTGCTACTGGCAGAATGTTTACCCTTCATGGTCATGTGTGTGTATATATGCATTTTATCTTCCAACTTCTGTATATGTGTACTTGATCTTGTCTTGCAACTTATAGAGAAAATCATGGTGGTATGCTGGATACTACTAAACTTACTTCTGATCTCGTTGGTTGTCGATTAATTTTGTTCGCCAAAGATGATTTTCTGTTCTAACAGGCCTTTATGACCGCATGAGTGTTCTTGTTTTTGTTTTACCTGTCTTTTTTTGTCATTTATAAATTCCTCTTCTTTTCACCTGTATGTTTCTGTGTATGTGGTTGTGGGCGTGCTATACGAAGACTTATGCATCGATAACCTATGCTATGAGACATGCTGTGGCGTAAATATGTGTGTTGCAAAGTCTTTCTACTCTAGTAAAATATGTAGATTAATTTATTGTTTTCCTGCTTGTCATCTCACCCACTACATTCTTGTATAAACCCAGAGATTGCATCTCATGGATTTTTTTTTGTTTAAATTATTTTTCTACCGTGTGGATTTTTTATTCCTTGCAGGTGCACTTCTGCTGGAAGAGGTAATATCTAACTGCGGGACCGAAGGCATAAATGCTGTGATCGACTCTGTAAAAAGTCGAATAAGTGAGTCCCAACAGGCGAAAGATACTGGCTCTCCTGGTTGGTGGAGAGTAAGTCGAACAAATTCATGACTTGATTTACTTTAGAAAAATGTTATATGGACATTGTAACTTGCTAAACTGGTTTTCAATTTATTATTACTATTTTTCCTTTAAAATCATTTAACTTATCAACGTGCTGGCAGTTAAGAGAGGCTGCCCTGTATGCTTTGGCTTCTGTGGCTGAACAGTTGCTTGAAGTAGAGGTTGGCCCTTGCCCCACCAATAACTGATAGCTAGACATATTCCTTTTTTGGTTTCTATTCTCTATGGATGCTGGGTTACTAGTTTGTTTAATGTCTTATGTTTTGATTTCTTAGGTTTCTGGTTCTACAGTTGGACCTATGCTAGGGCAAATTTTAACTGATGACATGGCAACAGGTGAGACATGACTATAAGATGTATTGAAAATTCTTTGCTTCCTGCTAATTCAAGCTTTATTTTTTTTCTAAAGAAATACAAAGATCCTTGTTTATTTGCAGGCGTCCATGACTACCCCTTTCTTTGTGCCCGCTTATTTTCCTCTGTTGCAAGATTTTCTTCCATGGTTATTAGTGAAAACTGAACAGCCTCCCTTTTCCTCTGCCTGCCTTCGTTATCCTAAACACAGCTCTTTCATGTTCCTGCAAGATCTCATTTGGTTTTAATTATATGGACAGATGGACAACCAAGTAACAGAGCAGTTCCTATACGCTGCTATTAAGACAGTTGGAATGGATGTGTAAGATCTTGGGTTTTCTGGGTTTTTAAACTCCAACATGATATCACTCATTGTTCCTTCTTTTACAGACCTCCACCAGTTAAAGTTGGTGCTTGTCGAGCTTTATCCCAACTTTTACCAGATGCCACCACTGGAATTGTTCAACAGTTTGCATTTGACTTATTCTCGTCACTTATAGATCTTCTAAAAAATGTAAAGTGAAATGTACCTGGTGTGTGTTTTGTCCCTGGTTGCCAGATCTGTTCAATATTTAATTATGTTATGTTTTTTATTTCTTTGCAGGCCTCTGATGAAACTATGCATTTAATACTTGAAACTCTGCAAGCAGCCGTGGCAGCTGGTTAGTGCAATTAAACTTCCAGTTTGATGTTCAGATAGTTTCATGTTTTATTGATTTTGTTTGTTTCGGCATCTGACACTCAACCAGGAGAAGCTCACATTGGGTATTTTCCCTTACAGGTCATGAAGTTGCGGCATCAATAGAGCCAGTTTTATCTCCTATCATGCTCAACATGTGGGCTTCTCATGTTTCTGACCCATTCATCAGTATAGATGTTCTAGAGGTTTTGGAGGTAACTTTGAGTTTATATTTACTTTTATTCGCTTACCCATTTCCCATTGTTGTAACTTGGATTATGTGGGGCATGTCAATGTATTCTGTATCTATCTGTGCTGGAAACTAGCATATTTCTTGAAGATGTATTTAACTCCCCAAAAACCTTATAATTGCTTTAGTTGTCTGTACATTATTGCTGACAAATGTTTTGCATGTCCCGACCCTAACAATATCAACTGTTTCTTATTTGAAATTCTCAGGATTGACAGTTTAAGTTAACGTTAGCTGAAATTTGTAACTTCTGGTGTTCTTTAAGCGGCAATTCCTTACTGCCTTGTGTTTTGCACCTTTTCAGGCCATAAAAAAGGCCCCTGGGTGTATTCATCCACTGGTTTCTCGAGTTATCCCCTACATCGGGCCAATCCTCAGTAGTGTATGCAAATCTTTACCTATCTCTAATAATCGAAGGAAAACTATTAAACAATAGATATTTGTGTTTTTCATTTTTATATGATACTGTTTCGAAGGAAAACTATTAAACAATAGATATTTGTATTTTTCGTTTTGAAATGATACTGTTCACATTTTTCAGCCGCAACAGCAACCCGATGGTTTAGTTGCCGGTTCTTTAGATCTTGTCACAATGCTGATAAAGGTAATAAATAGCCGTTTTTACATTATGATTGGTGTTTGCATATTATGATTTGTATAGTGCTTACGACTGCAACATATTATTTCGCAGAATGCCCCTGTTGATGTGGTAAAAGCACTCTTTCAAGTTTCATTTGATCCTGTCGTGAGAATAGTTCTCCAGAGTACTGACCATAGTGAAATGCAGGTTAACTTTTTTTTTTTTTTTCACTTACCTTAAAACATGTAATTAGCTTCTATATTAAAATATGATACTAACAACGGGATGATACATGTATAACAGAATGCAACCCAGTGCTTAGCTGCACTTGTGTCCGTTGGGAAACAAGATATGCTTTCTTGGTCTGGTGATCCTGGTTTCACAATGAGAAGTTTGCTGGATGTAGCTTCGAGGTGATGTGCTCATTTTTTCTTGTTATTGTGTATGGCCCTTTTGTTTAAATCACTATATTGTCCTGTGGTATTGAGATTTCATATCTGCTTACAACATGAAGCTCTTGTTTGTGGTAGCTGATTGTACAATGTTAAGAAGATGTTTTAGTTACATTAATTCTGCAGGAACTAAATATGTTTCTGTCTCATTCAAGAAAAGAGGGATAGTTGAAGTAGTTCAAAAATTCCAATATCCTTGAGATATGTGCTTGTTGTACAAGCTGCCACTTTAATGATGCAATTTGTTAAATATAAACCAATATCATGGGGTGATTTGTAGTTTTAAGAGATAGCCATGTGTTTTTTCTTTCTTTATTTCTCTCTTTTCACATTTAGAAAAAAAAAAAAAACTGCTAAACTTCAAGGGTACTGTACACGCTTTGTCACCCAAATATAGTTTTCTATATTGAGGAGATGTTAATTACGCATATGTAAACTGTAGCTACTATAATATGATACTTTATGCATGAGTCTGAGGTATGTTTATTCATTGTGCTATATATTTTCAGTAATAAATGCCCTCATCCCCTTACATAAATGCGAAATACAAGTTAGTAAGATTTCTGCTGTTATCTTGTTGTGCAGGCTTCTAGACCCTGAACTAGAAAGTTCCGGATCGCTTTTTGTTGGCAGCTACATTCTACAGCTTATTTTACATTTGCCTTCACAAATGGCGCAGCAGATCAGGGATCTCGTGACTGCACTTATCAGACGCATGCAGTCTTCATGGATTGCGGGACTGAAATGTTCATTGCTTCTGATTTTTGCGAGACTGGTCAGATTTTCTTATAAAAATATTTTCCAAAGTAGATTTTTTTTTTTCGATAAAATATCGACAGCATAAGTTATTTTCCTTAATGTAGGTCCACATGAGTGTCCCACATGTAGAACAATTTGTTGACATGCTTGTCTCTATCCCTGCCAAAGGTCATCTAAACTCATTTTCTTATGTAATGTTCGAATGGACCCAACACCAAGGCAAGTCCTCATGTAAATTAGACTTTTGTTTATTTGTGTTTCTTTATTCCTTATTCTTTATTCCTGTTTCTTCTTTCATTTTCCTTTTCGTTTTTCAACATAAACATTCACTTCATTTAGAAAATTTGTTAATCCATCGATTTGGTTGTTTTGCTTATTACATCCAGGGGAAATTCAAGGAGCCTACCAAATCAAAGTGACAACTACTGCTTTGGCTTTGTTGCTCTTGACTAGACATGTTGAATTGGGGAACATTAACGTTAAAGGCCAACTTATCAAGGTTAGATTTTACTCCTTATACATCTGCCACTTATTATACCTTCTCAAAAAGCTCACTCCATCTTATATATTTTATAGTCTTACACAGGCATAACGACTCGCTCAAAAGCCAGGAGAATACCAGATCAATGGACAGTTGTGCCACTTCCTGCTAAGGTATTGATTTATGCACGTTCTTTTCAAATTAATGTGAAAGTGAAAAATGGTTTGTAATTGATGTTCTCTTTTTATTTTTTCTTTTCGATTCCTTATTAAAGATTTAGTTTTAATTTACCATTCTTACGTGCTTTCTGGGCACAATAGATTCTGGCTATACTGGCAGACACTTTAATAGAAATCCAAGAACAAACTTTAATAGAAATCCAAGACCAAGTAGATGGGGATAATGAGGTAGTTTGCCGTAACTTAATTCACATTTCCATTATCACATCCATGACTGTGAAGCTGGATTTAGAAAATCTTGGCAAAATTTATTTTGGCAGGATAGCGACTGGGAAGAAGTTGAGAATGAAGATGGTGATTTCTTATATTCTTCTGCTAATTCCGCATCACATGGCAGACCTACTTATGAATATCTCGATGCCATGGCAAAGGCTTTTAATGAGGTTTGACTAGCTGCTCATCTTTAAACATTTCCAATCTTTTAAGGGTTAACTACTAAAGTTACCCTCCACATTTAGTCGTATCACGAAAATTCAAGTTCCTCTGAATCTAAATTAGTAAAAATTGGAACAAATTTTGTAATGCATTAAATCAATACACTCCTTATTGTCTAATTTGCAATAGAAACAAATTTTAAGGGGGGCGTTCTTTCAATTGGAAATAGAAATTTTGTTGTATTTAGAATGAACTCATTGTGCTTGATTCTTCAATTATCTAATTATCCAATTCTCCTTTGATTCTTCTGAGTTGAATTTGGTTCCATTGACTTATTTAAGGACCAAGAAGATGACTATGAAGATGATCTTCTTAGTGGTGTGGATCCTCTAAATGAGGTAAACCTTATATTTGATTGCTAACTGTTGCCCACAACTTCCCCGAATATTTTGTTTATTCACTTTTCTTTTAACATCTATTATGCAGATGAATTTAGTGAACGTTCTTTTCGAATCCCTGGCAAAATTCTCGGAGGGCGACAGACCATATTTTGAACATCTATTTCAGGTCTAGTTACATTCTATCAAGTTTGCCGATTATAAATTTTACCCCTTTGACAGCAGTAACTCTTCTGGAATATGGAGTCCCATTTGAGTCTTGATTTCTCGAATGCAGAGCTTAACAAAGCCTCAACAAAAAGCTATTGAATTGGTTTTAAGACGACGGGCAATGTGATTTGTGCAGTGCAAAGTATGCCGATCTTTGTATGCGCCAGTACATTACACATNTTTTTCGAAACTACAGGATACTATACCAACAACAAAAGGAGAACAAAGTTCAATACAATTCAGCGCAAAGCAGACTGAAAATGGAAGTGCAACAGCTTCCAATAATGAAAGATGAGGCTTTCCCTAGCATTGATAAAACAAAGAAACCAGGGTTAGTCTCAATCTCCCAAGCTAAGAAACCTACTCTTAACAAGAGAAGGTGGCAACAAAAATAGCTAGCCATTGATCCAGAGGGATCCTAACTAGTTATCAAAAGACTACAAAGTAACTAACTAGAATTTAAACAAGAGAACTTAAGCCACTCTCTAACAGCTATATGTACAGTGTCAAATTCTGATCTGAGGGTGTTTTCAAAAACCCAAAGATTATGGGTTTTCCAAATCCACCACAACAGGTATGTGGTGAGCTAGATTCTGTCATCATTTATGGGGCTGAGGGGTAGTGAGCAAAGTTGCATCCACCAGGTTCTGAAGCGGGTTCCTTCGTTCTGTGTATGTGTATGCCTTCCCAAGAGATTGGGGAGAGCTTCCAAATAAGTTTTGCTCTTTTACATTGAAAGAAAAGGTGTTCTTGTGTCTTAAAGTCCTCTCCACACAACTTGCACCTTTGATCCACCTGGATTCCTCTTCAACTGATATTGCAAAGGACTGGAAGGATGTTGTTGATCCCTTTCCACACAAAGTGCTTTAGTTTCCCCTTAGCTCCCATTCTCCAGGTTCTTCTTGCTTTTCTCATCTCCTTTTGGCTAGTGCTTGATTCTGCTAGGTCCATCTTTAGTTTCTGGCCACCATTGGTAGTTGATTATTAGACCTACTAGTAGTTGATCATGTGCATGTGTACAAATATAAATTACAGAGTATTATAAATTATGTATATATATGATATTAAAATTATAAAATAGATAATGTATATATCACATTTTATAAATTTGTTTATTAATAAATGAACAATATAAATATAAATTATTTAACTACACATGAATCTCTATATTGATCGCATAAAATGTAATACATAACATATTTATTGTTATTTTGAGGTATTATGGAAAGTTAATTACATAGAAAAAATATTGAAACAATAATATTTATTATCGTTGTTGTTTAAGGGGTTTTTCCATGGCATGATATTAATTCGATGATTAAAAAACTAATAATATTTTTGAAGTAAATAGCTTGAAAAAAATGCAATGTAAATTTTAATCATTATGTAACTTACATATACCATTTAGTGTAAATTATAATTAGTTGATTTTAGTAATAACTATCGTATGATAGAATAATTAATAAAACGTGATTACACTTAATTAATAAAATTGTTACGTTTTATATATGTGGTTAGGATCCAATAAGAATTGTAGATAGTAAAATAAATAAAAATAAGTGTGGCCATTCGATCCATCGAGTCAACAACCATGATCAAGTCAAATTTTAGTAAATGACAGTCAAATATGTTGTGGCATTCTCATAAATATGTGTACATATTTTGGTCAAATATATCCATTTGACCACCCAATAAGGGTAAAACGATCATTACACAAAATTACAAATCGTCCACCCACACGGTGGGCCCCACCCAATCCCACTATCTTGTCGTTTCTTTCACACACTAACACACACACACACACAAACACAAAACACACACCATGCACAATTCACACCCGTCGTCGCCCAACGCCACCCGTCTCCGCCCATCATCTTCTACTACCGACGACGTCTCTTTCACGCTACCATCTACGTTTCATTATCTTCGACTGATTCTCAGAGAATACATCACCGCCATTGATCTCTTTGCACCGCCATTTCATTCCCTTCGGGCCGACGCCGGCCTCTGCCACGCCATCACTTTTACCATGGAACTCCTTGTGCTATCCTCTGACACCCCGTCTTCTTCACGATCTGAATCAAAGCCTCGATCACAAAAACCGAACATCATTAATAAAACCCTAATTCTAAAATTCAATTTATTATTCAATCACAATCAAATCGACGACTGTGCAAAATTTCAAGCCTCTGTCTCGGTGCTCGATCCGGTGGTAATCACCATGTATACGACGATCGCGAATGAGAGTATCTCTGGCAGGGTTGTTGGGTTCTATGAGGATCGTCGTCCTCGTGCGCATTCGAATATATTAAAAATAAAACCTAACGCAACGGAATCTATTGTTAGGATGAGTACTTACGGTTTAATATTTTTTCCGACTGTGAGACGTTTCTAATTTCCGCTGGTGGAGACCATTTGAACCTCAGAGTCTGTTGGGTTCCCATACTTGGCCTCACCATCACCAGATCTCGACCGTTCTTGCGTCTCATGTCTCCAGTCGCTCGCCGCTTGCGTTGGACCGTCTCAACCATCGGTGGCTAAGTCGAACTGCCCCGAGGTTACCGTGGGCTCGCCGGGCCTTCTGGGCTGAACCGGACGGGTTTGGACTGCTTATAGGCCAGACTAGACCGGACTGGACCAGGTCTGGTGCGCTGCTTGTGGACTGCCGCACTGGGCACCCATGTTGGGCTTGGAAGCACGTGGGTCACGCTACACACACGGACGCTAGGCACTGGGACAACATGGGTCGCTGAGATTTTGCGCACGAGACATAGAATGCGGGATAAGTCGCACTGGGCACGTGGGTCTTGCGAGAAGATTGTTGGTCTCGCTGGCTGGTCGCGTAGGGCAACGCAGGTCGTGCAGGGAACACACGGATCTTGCTCTAGGTCGCATTGGGAAGGCGCAGGTCGCATTCCTTACATGTGCGAGCTTTCTGCAGAAATATTTAATTAATTAACGTAACAATTTTATTTTCAGCAATTTTTAAACATTAATGGTAGTTATCTCATTGCATGAATATCGGGAAGAGATATTATCCTTCCTTCCACACGCAAAGGAAATCAATAAAAAACTCATGCATTTTCTCTCTCAGACCTCGACTGTCGTACACCGTCTTCACCAGAAAAAAAAAAACGGAATTAACAATAAAAAAATTGTGTGTTTCTCTCTCACACCCACCCGCGGCTGCCGTGTACATGTTTAACTAACGTGTATGTTGTGTAAAATTTTACATGGAACACCTACTTTCTATTGTGTTGAACAATATTACATGACAATTACTACATTGAGGTTTATCAATATAGCTATATGTGGCATTTAGTTGAGAGAAAACAAATGGGTATTCATATCCCATTGGATGGTATTGTTCTATTTAAATAAAATAAATGTTGTGTTAACTTGATTGTATGGTAAAATATAGGTTGCGTATATGCTAAAGTAAATGTTTAACAAATTATATCCTAAATGATATGTTTGCTAAAGTATAAACAACAGTATATATTGTGTATATATTATGTATATCTTAAAACATGATATATACTTTTGTAAACTGAAGTATAGTACTTGTAGTTATTTATTTATCCCCGTCATTTTTATATACAGAACGTAAACGAGAAATCCAGTAGTTTTAAGATGGGAGGCTAGGTTCAGACGGGTCTGGTCCCCGCCTATGTCAGCTCGACCTGTAATTCACTTGTTGGCTCAGCCAAATGAGAATTAAGATCATCAGAACACCACTGCTTTTGCGGGAGATATCCCCCGATCCGGAAATGAGTACCTATCCCTTATGGGAATCGAACCCGACTAGCTAGTCGAGGTGATTCCTCTCCATCCGCTCCGTCTCGTCTGATTCTAAGATCAAGAATANACAGATCACACATAAGCATAATAAGTTATACTGAACATAAATGGTAGATAAACAAAATATTATCACGCACAAGCCATTGACGAAGATTATGATTTTATTTGCCAAAGATTTACTTTCTCATACAAACATCAAATCAGTGTCAAAACTCAAATAATCCGAACTAAAATCCCCACCATCATAGTTACGTGGCAGTAAACAGAGCCCATCTCACCACTGCCAAAGCACACCCCCTCTGAAACTCCGGCCTTGTCGTACCTCCTAAGCCGATCTAAGGAGAGTACCATTGACAACAATAATAGGTCTACAATGATTCCACGCTTTATTTGAAGCATTTAGACACACGAAACACTTTTATCTCTGAACGTTTTGCCGACCATAATATCAGCATTCATGCATCCGTCGACCACAACTCCAAGTGTTCTGGAATTGTTTATTTCTAGTTTATATTCCTTATATTTTGCTGTTTTCAACATAGTATCTACACCATGTTCAGGCGAATCCTCTGTAAAAATCATCGTCTTCTAAATCTTCTTATGTCAGACGTCTTAATGCTGCTATATCACTCTAGGCCACATCATAAACGATCAAAATTAAAGAACAAACAAAAAAACACACACCACTATTGTAATAGAACACTACATAAAAAAACACAAACACAAAATTACCTTCTGAAGTTTTTGATCAGTGAAGATTTCACGAAGAATAATATTTCACGGAGAACAATTTTTTTGCATTCCAATCCCAATCGGAGCATTTTTTTTATTCAAGATATGGATTAACAGACAATCCCGTTTGAATTTTTTGAATTCGTCAATCCCTTGATTCTAGTCATCGGAATTCGTATATATCTTTTTTCTATCTTTTTCGTTTTGGCTACGATTATTTCGCATTAAATGATTGCATGTTTAATATGCAGGGAGAGAAAGCGAACAACAGGTGAGAGAAACATCTTGTATATGTGGAAAAGAAAAATCTTATCCAAATCCCATGTTGATGAAAGTTTATATAGAATATATAGTCTATATATATGTAAATTGGTGTTGGTGATTGGGCAGAAATCTTAAGCTTATTTTTGGGCATATTACCTAATGTTGGGCATAAGTTATTGGGCTGAAATATTAGGCCTACGGCATATATATATGAAAATTTCTCTAGCTTCTAGAATAAGCTAGTATTAGAGTAAATTCATGACACGGCGAAATATATCAACGGTTGAAGGATAATATTTACATCATAACTAATTTTTGGTTAACTCTGTATGATACGTAGCGTCCATAGATCTAATTACGTAAAAAAAAAAAAAAAATGTTAAGATAAAAGGATAATATAAAGATTTGACCTTTATAAAGGTTGTGACATAATTTTAAGCATAATCATTTCTACAAAGGCTTAATTTGAATGGATGAATTTGAAGCCAAGAATTTGAAATCAACCAAATTTTAAAATTTGTAGGCATATTATAGCATGTTTGAATAACCATCACCTCTGACTTGGTCGAGCTTTGTCACATCTGGGTTTTGCCTTGTTTGACTCGGTTGGCTGGGTATTACACAGTTTGAATCCAAGTTGATAAAATTTTTTAGTTAAAAAGACGTCAAAAAAAGGTCTGGAAAAAGAAAAGACAAAGGAAACAAAAGGAAAAACACCAATTTTCTTTTAAAATTCAAATTGTCCTTCTAGCAACTAGCCATCTACAAAAAGAATTCCCACAATCTAAAAGATTCTTAAGCACAAGGCAAGTCAACATTATCCAAGAAAGCAGCTTAGTCACATATCTATAAACCACGGAAAACCCAAGTTCAACCTTCCTGGCTCAGCCTCCTTCCCCTCCTCGCTTTCTTCAATGATGTCTCCTCAAACAGGCCCTTATACTTGTCGAGCACCCGCCTTTTCTCCTCCACCAGCCCAAGCACCTCGTACGCATTCGCCACTTTCTGCACTATCGATTTCTCAGGCGGTTTCCTGTCAAAATCCTCCAAACCCTCAAAAAGTCCCACGAGCTCCTCCAGCATATTATTACGGTAGTAAACCGAAATCATCATCTTGCACAGCTTCCAAGGGACCGAATGCAAATCAAACGCGAGTTTCTTTTTCCAGACCTCGTTTGCTTCCTCCACTCTGTTGTCCCTGTCAAGGGCTTCAATCAGCTGCCCGTAAGTCCCTCTTGTAGTCCCTTGCCCTTTGCTAAGCATCCACTTGATCACCTGAATTACTCGGTGCCACTGGTTTTGCTTCTCAAGGGCAAGAATGACATTTTTAATGGCCCCAATTGGGAAGTCGCGTTCCCATGCGATCCATGCATCGAGCGTGCTGTAGATGAGCTGTTTGTTGTCCGAGAGGACTGTAAGCGAGTTCACAAGGAAAGTGATTTTGTCCTTTCTGGGGATATTTTGGCCAATTGGTAGCTGGGGTATTATGGTCATATTTTGGGGGGAGTTTGTTGGGTTGTGGACAGTGGATTGGAGCATTGTGGCGTAGGGCTGGAGCCTTTGGGCCATGAGTGGGTTGACTTGTCTAACAAGTTTTTGTAGGAATGCAATTCGAGACATGGGTTGGTTTTTTTCTTATGGACAAAGATATAGGTTTCTGCAAATGAAGAGTCAATTGTTCCAGTTAGAAAGAATTTTCTGTGATTGGATGATACAACAAGCATTCAAAGCAAAAAGACTGGTTGATTTCCACTCATTTCAAATTTACACATAAAGAAGACAGAATAATGCTACACTCATCATAGCTTACTTGAAGATCATGCTTTTGGCCTAACCACGAGCATTTATATCAAATTCAATTAAGTTCAAAACTATGGATAAAGATAAATAAATGTATAATGCAAATGCATCAGTGCCAACTCAAGCTTTTCGTTGAACACATGTAATGGAAAGAAGAACCCACATGAAAAAAACAACCAAAACTCCACTCTTGCACAACCAACAAGATCACTAGTTTATGCGAACCCATCATTATACCAATCACGGCAAGAACTGGTACAATTGGATGGAGCCAACAACAAAAAGAATCACAAAATGAAAGATACAGGTATTTTTCTTGTGTATAACCACCATTTGGTGTGTACCATATTATCACTCTCACCTCTTCTAATGCTTACTTGCAACCTGCAGTGTAAGTCTTCTCATTTTTTTCTTTTTTTTTTTTCCCCAAATTGAAAGGGAGCGAGGTTGCGAGGGAAGAGAATTCGGAGTGCGATTTTCAGGCTTTATTTGAGCTGGACTATGGTAGTTCTGATTATTGGGCCATTCTTTTTTGTTTGCTCATAATAATATGCATTTTTTGCCATTTAAGTTTCACAATTGGGTTGGGGGCTGAGACTAATCTTTTTCTCTTTTTCGTTTTCCTTTTTTTTTTTCTCTTTGGACTAGCTTTAGTATTAGTGCATCATGTAGAATAAATATTAAAATTTAATACTAATTTTGAAGTATATGGTCATTTTTTATTTTATGTTTTATTTAAATTGGTATAATAAACAATAAATAAATTAATTTTTTATATTTAACGGATATATATATATATATATATATTCATAATATTATACTAAGAGGCAACTGGCCGTGCAAACACATTATGTCTTTTGAGCCTTCTTTAATGCATGTATGTAATCATGTGGAAAATGAATATAGTTAAGAATTTCATCATATACAACTTACTGAAATCCAATGAAAGAGACATATAGTTAAGAAATCTCATTACATAAAATGCGTTCAAATATAACAAAGACATACTCTTTCTTTTAGTTTTTATCTTTTTGCAAAGGAAATGAAGATAATCACATATATTTCAACAATAGTGTTTCCCAAACTATTACAGGACATAATAAAACTATTAACAAATCCCTTTGAAAGCTATATTTGTAAAAATACCAAACCTAAAAACTACAAGAAAACGGGTTGTACAGTTCAAACTACAATATTGTTATCATTAAAGCGCAAAATGAAAATTATCATTTAAAATGATACAACAACTGTTCACTATATCATTTAAATTCGTCTTTCTCGCTTTTAACTTTTGAATTTATAAAATAATTATCATTCTTAAGCTAAGCAAAATACACTTCGTACTTTTTTTAACACAACCTTATCATGTTTTGTGATATTGTTTGAGTAACGAGTAACAACTGTGGGGAGTGGGGCATACAGGGATTAGACGCTAGAACTGCACATGGACATGAAAAGTGGTGTGAACTGATTTTTTTTTTTTTTCTTGGTTCACATTTAGATTGCATATGAGAGAGCTTTAAATTTAGAACCTGTCATAAATCAGCATTCTTAAATTTGATCCTTAATAATAAAGGAAATAAATAATTAAACTAATAATGCTAGACCATCATGCTTGTCCAAAAAGGCTAATGCAATCTCGTCTCCATCACATATCCATCCATTTATCACATTTCGGATTAGATGAAATCTAATCTCTTTTACAATCAAACTTTGCTTTCTAATAATTTTTCTTTTCATTCCGAACCAATTTTTTATGATAGGTTATTTACATTCTTTTATTTTAATATTAGTTTTCCAATATATACATATATATATATATATATATATATATATATATATATATGTAATCAAAACAGCAGAACATGAAAAATCATCAAAAATTATTGATCCGAAGCATAATGTAACCCATAATTCAAGACTTCAAGTGGTATTAAGTGTTAGGAGAATTTCATGACAAGGACCAATTTATGAATCTTCATCATTCAAAGTCCCAAATATAGAGCGTGTTTGGTTATGAAAATTTTCAAAAAGTTTCCAACATTTTAACTCAACTTTAACTCAACTCCACTATCATCAATATTATTAATATAATTAAATAACATCAATCAATCATTCATACACACCACATCAACCTTAATTCACTATCCATCCACTCAGATTATTTTAACTAACCATCACTTCAAATCATCTTATTTCTACGCTTACATTTTCGTTGTTCATCCAATTATTATTATTATTATTATTATAAGGCTCCCACAACTAGCAAGTGGTAGAAAAAATTCATCGTCTTGATCCTTAATAATCAATAACAGATATTCTTCTACTTTGTTATTTTTAGCTTCAGATATTTTTTAAATTTCTTCTTGTTTTCCTTTTTTCCCCTTTAATCCGGAGATAAATAACAAGAAATATTTTCTTCTCATGATTCTAAGTAAATCTTATCTCTAGTTTTCCATTCTGTAAAAATTAGCACAGGAAAAAAGTATCGTACCGTTTTTCTTCCTTTCTTTCAGAAATCAATGGGAAAGAATATTGTAATTACAAACTTGAGCATGTTGGTTTGCACAACTTGTTTGATATTTACCGTGGAAAAAAGAGAGAAATGTGGANTGAGATGTCACTATCCAAAGTAAATGAAAAAAGAAATTAAAATGACACTTTTAGTTGAAACAAAAGTTTGGAATGAGAAATAGAATTTGCTAATCAAATAAGCTAGCTTATAGCTTATTTGGTTAGCTTATAAGCTTCATGTATTCAAATAAGTTTCATTTCGTAGGACAAAAAGCTCGAGTTTATCTCATAAGCTTAGTTGGAAAGCTTTTCAAATAAGCTCGTTGAAAGTTTTATTTCAGCGAGCTTATCAGCTAATTTTAGCAAAAACTTTTATCATATAAGCTAACTTTTCAGCAATAAGTCATAAGCTATAAGCTCGAAAATCACTTATTAACTATCAGCTATCTTTATCAAACATAGCCTAAGACTAACCTGATTTTATAAAAAAGGATCTAGGTCTCGAATTGATAAAATTTAAATTTCGGGTGTTCAATTGATTCCATCTCCAATATATAGGACCCGTTGTAAAATTTTTCCTTAACTACTAGCCTTTACAAAATTGGTCCGACCTTTCAAAATCAACAAAATGTTGGTTTGTTATCACATAAAGCTAAAATTAAATACCAAAAAAATTCAGTCATATGAAACAATAATAGAGACCTCCTTTTTCGAATGCATAATGACACGCTGAGCTCCATTTTNAAAAAAAAAAAAGCAGAAAATTCGAATGAATAATGACAGGCAAAGCTCCAATTTTTTTTAACAAAAACAAAAAATATAGCAATTACAAATTAAATAAACTTACAAATAATGGTGAGATGTGCTTGGTCCTCAACGTTTGAGCACAGTCCAAAGCTTCCAATGTAGGTTTACCTCATAAAGCTTCATATTTGACTCTTGTGCAAGAAAATTGTGTGACAAAATTGTGACTTTAAAAGATCTAACAAGGGGTTCAAGAAATCAATCTCGAGAGACGTGAAACGAGACTTCGAGAAAATTGTAATTCTTGTTGGCGAAAGCGAGATGAAGACAGGAGACAAAGATGTAAGAGTTGAGTTATGGACTTACGGTGAATGGTGGGCCAGAATGAAGACGAGAGACTTGGAGATGAAGGCGATTATTTGGAAAATTAGGGTTTCAATTTCAATTGCATTAGTTTGGAGAGCTTGTGGTGGATGTGCCGACTGTTTTGATTTCTTGTTTTGATCTTTTGAGTTCAATTAATCCATTAACGTACTGAGTCTACTGACCAATAAAGATATTTAATATTCAAGATATATCAATAACAAAGAAAGAAAAAAGAAAAAAGTCCTAAAATAACAAATAAATGCTTTCAGTTGTATTCTAATATGATTCAATAATCTGTATTAGCAGCTATAATTACATTTTTAGATAAGAATTGCACGGTGTAGATTTGTGGCAATGAAATCTTTGCGGCTCAAATTAAAAGTAACATTATTAATTAAGTTTAGAATAAATCATTTCAATTAAAGGTGAGTTTCCCCACACAATTTTTGTTTCTTTGATTCAACAGTGATGTGTTCATTATAGTTTACATTTCCGTGTCCATTAGTGATTAGTGCATTTTAACACATCACTATAGTTTACATTTTCCTTATCCATTAGTGATTAGTCCATTTTAATTCACTGTGAACGTTTGTGCCACAGCAGGTACCCAAAAAATGACAAGGATTAAATGAAATCCCATCATACCACAAAATTATGAGTTGGGCGCTTAAGGGCGTGATTGTTTATAAGTTGTACAGTAAAAATCCCACTCAAAACTCAAATTTAACTCAACTTTAACTCAATTCCACTATCTTCAATATTACCAATATAATTAAATAATATCAAACAATTATTATTACACATCACATCAACTTTAATTCACTATTCACTCACTCACATAATTTTAACTAACCATCACTTCCAATCATTTTCTCCTACTTTTATATCAAATCAACTTTAATTATTTTAATTTAAATATTATTTTAATACATCCACTAACAACTAACCATATTACTTTTTTTCAAATTGAACTATAGTTAAAAAAAACTAGTTTTTTACTAGTTGAATTCATATTCAATCACCCCCTTAACCATTAAGCCATTGATACTTAACAGGGATCCCGTACATGGTAAATAACCAAATTCCTATTGAAATGTAATCTTTAGAACAAAACTTTTTTATTAGGAGGTACCTCGCCTATGCCTATGGATATCAAAAACCATCGATGCCATTTGTGGATTTTCGAATTATAATGTAGAATTAGCAATATACTTTTGTTAATCCTAGCACATAGCGAAATCCCCTTACCGAAGATACCATTAATTTGGATCCACAAATAAATTTAAAAAAAAAAAATGAAAAGTGTCATTTATAAATACTGCTAAATCCAAAAAAAGGTAAAATAAATAAATAAATAATGTCAAGGAACCAAGCACTAGAGGACACTAGATGGAAATTCTTAAGGATCCGTTTGTTTTGAGGGATTTATGGAGAGAATTGAAATCCATAGATTTTAAATTTCAAGTTCAAATGCTCATGGGATGATAATGGAAGTTGGAGGATTTCAAATTCATATTACATGTTTTTTAGTCATTATTTTGAAGGACATTTGAAATCCACTGTTTATCACCATTGACGACCACGCCGTCCGCCATCATTTAGGAATTCATCATCACGCGAGTCAACACCATCGGTGCGAGCTAGACAATTTATTTATATTATTTTCAGCACATCCATTTGCAAGTCAAAAATTTATATTTCAAAAATTTTGAAATTAAGGGATTTCAAATCTCTCAAAACAAACGGAGCCTAAAATAGTTATTAAAACGTGTCAATGTAATTGATTTTTATTTACCCTCTGTCCGTGTTAGAGTTAGACTTGTCTCTGCTCCCAATGATGTTGACTAAAAAACTAGCCATTGGAAGGCAACAACTACGGAATTAAATAAATAAATAAATAAGGAACTATTGGATATAAATAAAATCAGAAAAACGGTTTTGGCTGAATTTATTGATTAAAGTAGTTAATTTTAAATAAAGTTGATTGAATAGAAGACTGAGTGAAATTTTGAATTTGTATTTAAATAATATTTATAATGTAATGAGTAAATTTAATGTGATATAAAAGTAAAAGAGATGTTGAAAATTATAAATAAATAAAAATATGTGAGTGAATAAATATTGAATTAAAGTTGATTAATATGTGAGGAGGATTGATTGATATACTAATAACATTGAAGAGAGAGTTGAGTCGTATTTTGAGTTAAGTAGAGTAAAAATTATCGAGTCAGTCAAAAAAGATTTTAACTTGTAGCCAATCACACCCTAAATCTCTTGGTTACTCCAGTTATCTTTTTTTAATTCTTCTCATATATTATTTATTACCCCTCATATTAAATTGAATCCAGTATCACAAGATATATATGCAACCCAGAGTCAGATTAAATTCAATAGCATAATTTATAATTGTACTTAAAAGTATCTTATGTGGATGTTGATCAGGCCCATATTAAAAAACAAAAAAAAAATGCCATCTGTTTTGCAGAGGCGCATTGGTTGGGATCGTTGAAATAGCCTTAAGACTTTTTTTCCTCTGCCAAAATTGACAACATATTCTGCTCCAGAAACATAATATGTCCTATTGGTGCATGCCAATTAAGCAACAAGTTCCATGAAAAGTGTAAAGACAAATCAAAAAGTTTCGCATTCACAGTTTATGAATATCATTTCTTCTCCATACTTTATAATAATCTGCAGCTCAAATTCACACATTGATAATTGGAAGATTCAAAGAAGTAACGCACGCACACAAAGTCAAATGACATGAGAAAGGAGCAGCATTACCTTTATTACTTTATCTTACTCCTTTTCTATTTCTTGTTTCTTCTGCTTCATTTTTCCTTGTTTGAGCACCAGCTTGAATCTCTCTGCCAAGTGATCATCACGGTTAATAGAAAACTCAAGAGTTCAGTCCAAGATTTGGCTAGCAGATTCCAAATAAGGATAGGAAAAGGTCAGTCAGAAAAAAACTCGACAATTGATTCATCCATATTACATCACATGTGTTCTAGAACCATGGAATCAAAAACTTAGTAACATCTGTTACTCCTATAAATTATGCAAACAACACAATAAAACACCCTGATCAGTAAGCTGTAAGCAACGGATAACAAGAAACAATAATCCTACTTCACAGACTAAAAAGTTATTAAGCTAGCAACAGACAACAGACCCATAAAAAACCACAACCAAACATCCTTGATGGATAAGCACCACAAACCACACCTTTTCTCTTCCCCCTGCCTCCCAACCCAATCCCGACCACCATAAATAGATATTATATTCTAACTAACCGAGCACACCATAGTTTCAATATATAATTGTTAAAAGAAAAAAAAAAGGTTACCGGGCAAGAAATGCTGTTTGGCAGTATGCAGTGCGAAAAGAGGGGTTTCAGTCTCCAAATCAGGATTTGACCCAATAATCAACTTTCGAACTTCATCCTTTCATGGTGAAACACATCNATTAGACAGTAGGAAACATCAAGAATCGACAAAACGGAAAATCAAACGAATCCAAAAAGAGCAAACTAAAAATGGCGACATGAATAGGTCTCATCAGGAAATGGCTAAAACTACCGCCTCGATGAGCTTCCGGGTTGCTGCTCGACAAGATTCCGGAGTTCAGAGGTGGAGTCGAGTTGGTGGATCCACCACTTTCCTCTGGTGGACTCAACAGAGGTGGAATCGCAAACCCTAAGTTTTGGTTCCCAAAACGATTTGAGGGGCTCAGGGCAGAGGCGGCGGTGGAAAGGAGCTGAGATAGCTCCGGGTGCAGGTGGCGAGGGCGGAGGTGACAGGGAGCGGAGGTGGAAATGGGCAGAGACGGAGGTTCTTCGGTGGCGAGGAGCGGAGGATTTGTCTGCTGTGTATGTCTAGAAGAGAAGTGCGTGTGATACTTTTGGAGAACATTTTTAGCCGACCCTTAGACCATTCTTATTGGTGACCCAACCTATTGGGTCACCAGCTAAAAGACAAATAAAAATATAAAATAAAAAAGAAAATGAAAGTGGTAGAATTTTGGGCGACCCAGGTCACTAGGGATGGCAATGGGCCAGGTCGGGCCGGGTACCTACGTACCCAGACCTGGCCCGTGTTTTTGCCCTGTGGACCCGACCTGGCCCGTGACCCGTGACGGGTCCAACAGATCGGACCCGTGCCCTGACCCGTTTCGGGGCAGGTCGACCCGACCTGACCTGTGGCCCGTGCCTGACCCGGTTCGACCCGCCTTGACCTATGTTTTTTGCTCCATTGTTGCAATTTAGCAACACAGTTGCAGCAGATTGCTGCTTCACAACAGAAAAAGAAAAAGAAAAAAAAAAACAACTGAAAAGTTACATATGCACAGCACAGCAATTCATCTTCCTTTTAAGCCATACCAAATCCATCCTAACTCAAGATAACAACACAGCAATTTATCCTAATTCCTAAACATAAATCCATCCTAACTCCCAGTCATACCAAATTCCACAACAATTCAAATCACAAGAAATATATTTCAATTTCAACATCTTAAGTTCTTAACATCTAATTACATACTAATACACGATAGCATTGAACATTTTTGTTTTATTTTTTTAAATCTGAAATTGGAGTCGAGTCGGAGGCGGGGCGTCGAACCTTTATGTCGGAGCCTCGGAGGTGAGGCGGGTCTTAGAGGCAAGGCGAGGAGCGACCGGAGCTTTTGGGTCGGACTTCGGAGGTGAGGCGTCGAGCGGTCGAGGCGCGAAGAAGAGGCTTTGTCGGACTTCGCGAGTGTGTACTGTGTCGAGAGGCTCAAGACGCCGGACGGCCGGAGAGAGCGACTGTGAGAGAGAGGCGACGAGTGATGGAGTGAGTAGGGTTGGTGCGGTTGTGGCTGTGCGAGAGCGAGATGCAAAGGGACAGAAATTTCTCTTTTCTCAAACCTAATCCCTATTCCCTAATTTACATTATATACTATATATATGATATATAATTTTTATAAAAAAATAAAAGACAAAAATCATCCCGGGGCAGGTCAGGCCGGGTCGGGGCAGGTCGGGGCGGGCCGAGATTCAAGACCCGGACCTAGCCCGCTTATCCTACGGGTCGGACTTGGCCCGGCCCGTTATAGAAACGGGGCAAATTTTTCCCGCCCCAAATGCTCCGGGTCAAGGCGGGTCGAACCGGATCCATGTCGTTTTGCCATCCCTACAGGTCACATTGTGACCTTGGGTCGCAACTCAGTGCCTCAATTTCTTTCTTTTTTTTTTTTTTCATGCTTTTTGATATAGGGATGAAAGGAATGACACTTGTCCCATTCCCATTGGTCACTATAAATTTTATATAATAAGAAAAGTATAATCCAAATTATTGATATTATTTTATATTGAAAAAATAAATAAAAAATATCAAAATTCGTATTTTTTCATTCTCTATAAATAGAGACCACTCTTGATATATTTTGGAACACAATTGAAATTTCTCTCTTTTCACCTTTTTTAATCATACCTTATTAATTTTATCATCTTTTTTTATTTTTCTTAATTTCACAACTAAAACAATATCAAAAAATCTATTGTAGATAATATTTAATAAATAAAAATAAAATAAATATTATGTTGGGTTGGGTTGTGGATAAAGATATGTAGGTTGTTAAAAGTTGGGTTGTGTAGGTGGATGAAAGAGATATAATTTTTTATTATTGGGTTGAGTTGGGTTGGGTTGTGGATAAAGATAGTCTTAATGGGCAGAATTTTTAAGATTTGAGATATTTTAAAAATTTCATATTTTAGAGACTCGTGAAATCTTAAGTTTCGAGTTAGAATTTAGAGTGAGATTTTATATATAGTTTTTTTCTTTGAAATTTCAGTAAATCTTAAAAAGTAAATAAATTTTTATTTCAATTAAGTTACATACGTCATGATTTTGTAAGGCTTTTTAAAATCTCAAACATATGAATACCTCTGACTTTTCAAACTCTCAAAAAGTCTAAATTGAATATGCTAGGATTTTATAAGTTTTTTCGTAAAAGTCCTCTCTCTCTCTAAACCACATAAACCCTAAATCCCCAATTTAGCTACAGTCGTCGTCCTTTTCCTCGAGTGTCTTCCCCGGCAAACAGTCGGGCCTTTGCCGGCGGATTGCCCGTAGCCGCTCAGTCCTTGCCTTAATTTCATGTTGCCCTTTTCAGCTATCGTCGATGGAGACTGATGACCAACCTACGGCCGGGTGTTGTCGTATCAAGGTTGTTGTTTTGTCGGCCTTCCTGGGCTCGCGGTGGTGTAGGGTGGTGGTATGGACTTCGGGCTTGGGTGCGGCCCTAGTCGCACATGTTGTCGGCGGCAAGGTGATTATGGCTGAGGAGCTGCGTTTTATAGCCTCTGTTCCCGTGGTTCCCTGGTGTGGGGTCGACGGGAGGTTGGCGTGGCCGGTCCGAGGCCAGTTGTGTTGGTCAGGGTCGGGACGGTGGTGGTGTGTGAGGATGTGGATCGTCGCTGTAGTCCCCGATTCGTTTTATAAGAGTCGTCGTATTTTATTTTATTTTTATTATTAGCATTCTTGCATTTCAATTCATAGCTCGACCTTGTATAATCTAGTTTTAAATTCAAAATTTGAACTAAATAGATGTTCTCGTCTATTTAATTTGATTAAAATTTACCAATCGAAAATCAAGATTTAAGAAAATGTCCTCGTCTCCTTAAATTCTTTGGTGTGCTCTCGTTTTACTGAATCGTTCTAAGTGTTTAAATTGTTTTGATTTTGTCTAAGTGTCCAATTTGTTCCTTAAATGCCTAACTTGCATTTTGTGCTTATGTGTAATTTTATGTCTAAGTATAATTTGTGTGCTTAATTATGTGTATGTGTTTAGTTTATTTTGCCTAACTATACTATGTGTCTAGGTTGTTTTTGTTCAAATTTCCCTAAGTGTTCAATAGCCTAAGTGTATATGATAGCATGTGTTATTTTCGGCCCAAATATTCTACAAGAACTGGCCCAACCCATATCAGCACCTATTTTTCCCGTCTCTTGCATCGCTCAAAGGGGGATCCAATCAATGATTTAAATACATATCGTACCGGTCGGTAATACCGGATACTGACCATAACTACTATTACACTCAAAATACCGGATTTACGGTTATAACGGTTTGTACCGGAATCATACCGTAAATACCAGAAAATATCGGTCACTAATAAAAAAAATAAAAAAAATAAAATTTATTAATTTAAAAAAATAAAATTTAAATTGGTAGTTAAAATATTCTATTTTTATTTCATTAAGAAGTTGAAATTATTAATTATGGTTATTTATTTTTTTTACTTTTTTACATTTGGTATTATATATTTGTATGTATATTTATATATATCATTATATTTAGTAGTCCGGTAATACCACCGATATTACCGGTCTGACCGGTAATATTGCGTACCCGTGGCTAGACTGGTATGACCAACGGTACGGTATTTAAAACACTGGATTCAATCTCAAAATTTCAGTCGCCTCACTGTTTTTCCCCATCTCAAAACCCCCGGCCAAGAACAGGCAGCGCGATGGGAGCGGATTTCCGAGAACCCGATTTCAGGCGACTGAGGGAGAATTTATCCTAAAACAGCAAATACCGATAGACCGGCTGGGAGCAGGCGAACCACGTCATCCAGCCCTTCACGGCGGTTCGATGACGAGAATCCCGTCGTTTCAGCGATGTCCGGCAAGTTCAAGCTCACGTTCGACGTCCGGTGACCAGAACTCTGTCCGTTGAGCCACGACCCTTCTTGCACGCAGCGGCGAGCTTTTCTCGACAGTCATCCGAGCCGTGACGAGAGTTCCATTTGGCGACTGTTCTGGGACGGACCACCGGGCTGCAGCGAACTTGGCCCATTGTTCCTTGAACCGAGAGCCGATAACTTGTAGTCAAGACCCGAGCTTTTATTCATTTACTTTTCCCGAAGGAAGGTATTTTAGCTGAGACCATTTACCTCTTTCCTTGGCCAAGTTTATTGAGTTTATTTGTTGAGCATGTTCATGAGTGATTATCATGTTGAAAGTAAGTGTAAATTTCAGAGTTTGCTCAATAATTAGGGCCTCTATAATTATTGCTATGAACATGAGATAAGAAAAATAAGATTTTGAAGCATATGTGCAGTTTTAGCCTCTTTGCTGTGGTGACCTTGTTGTAGCCTCATTGTGCGAATTTATACTGTTAATATGTCTTAGTTTTAGAGGCTTTATTTTCTGTGTAGAGGCTTTGAAGTGGTGTTGAAAGATTTTAAGAAAAGAAAGAGAAAAAGAGGTATTGTGATGTGATTTTAGCCTCATTTTTGATTGTGTGATGCTGTGACCTTAGACGATTTCATGCCATTTACGTGCCTTATTTGTTGAGTCATTTTTTTTTTTATTTCCATGCTGTTAATGTGCCTTTTTCAGAGGTTCATTTCAGTCCTTAAGGCCTTACGAGGTGGTTAAAGTTTGAGAAAAAGAGAAGAGAAAATAAGGCACGTTTATGTAATGTTTGAACCATGTGATGTCTTGCATATTTGGTGAGCCTTTGTGAGTTTGGCATGATGTATTGCTGGTAGTTTCAGAGCTTATTTTTCAGAGGTGTAGGCTTTATTAAGATGCCTTTGAATTTTGAGAAAAGAAGAGTATATGAAGAAGGCTCAATGTGTGTTCGAATGTTGTTATTTAGCCGTGGCTTTGCCTTGCATTCTGCTGAGTTCCTTAGATATTTAGCATGCTTATAATGTGTTATTTTCAGAGGTTGTACACTCAGTTTAACAGACTTTTATGTGCTTTGTTTGTGCTTATTTGTCTTATTTGCCCTTATTTTGATTGCTTGTTTGGGTTGTTTTACTTGTTTGTTTGTGTGGCCTACTCAACCTCAATCAAAACTCTTAATAATATTTAAATCTCTAAATTGTATATTAAGGGGAGTCGAGCCCTCTCGCATATTCACGTGCATTCATTCATCGTACATCTGCAGTTAAGATGGGTTATTACAAATTTCTATACCATAATTCTTTATAATTGCTAGATTTTATGATCAATGTATGTATGTGAACCACAACCCTATTGTTAGATGCGGATTCGACCTTCGATATGGTATCCCCGTCGGCGGATGCGGTTTCTGTTGTAGAAAATTATATTTTTACCGAGTACGGGACGACTCCCGACCGCGGGTCGATCTCTCGAGGAAGGCGGTTCGAAATCTAGATTCGATGTCGATCGCACACAAGAGAAATAAGTCCTAAACACTTTAATCACAATTGATATGGATAATTAACTATAACTAACTAGAATTAGAAAAGCAAATAAAAAAATAACAATTAAATTGCTAGAGAATTAGAAGAAGTTCTAGGGGTTGGGAAATCCCATCAAAATGTGATGAACGCATATTTGTTCGGTTACGTGATTCAACAAGCCTACACGTCTAGAGGTTTATGCTCAATAACTTTTCGTAACAAGAGCACACACACATAAACGACAAACTCATTCTATCAAGCAACACATAGACAATACTTTTACGAACAAGTCTACTCTATACGAGCCTAGATCGATCAACTCCTTCCCTTTCGGTTCTAAGAGTTAACTAATTTAGACTAGACGGTGCTAATCGACTAATCTATTGGAATTAACATTGTCAAACCCGAATGAATCATATCCAATTGAAAAACAATGGCAAATTGAAGTATCACTCTTCAACAACATTCAACATTCAAGAATGAGAATAACAAACCCCTTTTTAAAGCAACTCACATAGATTGAACAAAACACATTCAACACAATTCGAAACAAGAATCAAAATCCCTAACCCTAGGTGAACGAATTACCTCATTCTTGGACTCAATTCCATGTTAATTACATCGAAGAACATAAATCCAATCAACAATAACAAAATAGAATTGAAAACTTACAATCGGATTAGGATTTGCAAGAGTTTGATCTCAATGTCTTTGTTTCCAACAATCTAAGCATGGTAGAAAAAGAAAAAGGGAGAAATAATCCTAACAAACTACTTACAAATTGATTCTTGGAGTGTCACCCTCCAAGAACGAATCAAGTTTCCAAAGGAGAAAATTGCAGGAAAAACGAATTGGGGGAAGAAAAAAACGAAAAAAATGAAATCTGCCCGCAGTTGGCCTTAGCGCCGCTAGGGTCTGGGCTGCGCGACTTCGCGTTTCGGGAACGTTTGAGCTCGTCCGAACTCGGAATTGAGTTCCGTTTTTTCTTACTTGTCACCATGAACCCTTCTAGTTAATTATGCTTACCCATCCAATATTTTCCTTAAATCCTATCCTACCGAAGCTTCCGATCTGCACACCAAAAACGAGAAGAAAAACGGAGAAAACCGGAAAACGAGCAAAAAACACAAAAAACTTAAAATGAAGGAAAACATGCAACAAAACACAAAACAAACTAAAAACAAAAAAAAATACCTAAAATGGGGAAAAAAGAAAGGGCACTCTAGCATCTTGAGAGGAGCTTGAAGGCTCAGGAAGAGAATCCGCTTTGACAGAAGTCAAAGCCCGTCCAAAAAGAGTGTAAACCTGCATGAATCCTCAGCTTTAGCGTAGCCCATCACAATTCAGACTTGAAGTTCGTTTGTCAATCAGTCTCGGAAGTTCAGTCAGAGCCAAGTCAGCACCGCAAAAATCTGCCGGCTACATGCATGGCGCATAAAAGAAGTCCAAATCGTGGATTGAGTGCGAAACTTCCAATATAGTTTCAGAGAGAAAGCATTAACAATATCTTCAAGTGAGCCTTCATTTGTATCTAAGACCCCCTCCTTGACTCTTCATTAAGGGCGAGCATATTTAGGTCCTCCAATCACTAGTTTACTATCTTTCTTTCTGCAATCATTTTTTGGGACAGCTTTCAAAGTTAACTTAATCCTTACCTTTCGCATTTATCTAAGAAATTGCAGATGAGCTACTTGGCTATAAAGCGAAATGAATCTAAGTCTAGTCAACATTTTACACGCAGGGTTTTACCATACCATACTCTACATGCAAACATAACAAATAAAACAAAAAGAATGGAATACCCGTATTCCCCACCCAACGAACGAAGCGAAGGCAAAACAAATACGAAAAACGCAACAAAAATGTGACAAACAGTTTCAACCGTTGACGATGCCCAATGAGAGGCAATCTCTGTGAACCTAATGACAGACCATGTCTTTGGATGCGGGTTCGACCATTGACATGTGCTTCTGTTGTACGATGCGGTTTCGACCTCCAGCGGCTATATGGAGTGTACATTAAATTTTTTATTCATATGATACCATTTTAATATTAAAAAATTAAAAAATAAAATACATGTATTATGAATGAAAAAGAAATAAATGATGCAGACTATAAATATCCAAATTAAAATTATTCAAAACAAATCATTGAAATGTCTTATCAAGAATAAGAAATAAACGATTAGACTAAATATCCAAAATTATTCAAAACATAAATCACTGAATTCAACAAGCAAAACATAGTATCGGCACATGAAATGACTTTCCAACACTATCCCACAAAACTATATAATCCTGACATGATGCGCAAAAGAGTCAGAGACAAGACAAATAACAAATAATAACAATAATATAATAACTAATCATTTAAAAATACTACAACATTTTTCCAATCCAAAAAATGCCCATCACCTCAGCCACCACGAGCTTCTATTACCAACCGAATCGATATGACCGAAATTCAAAACCAAAACCTCCCAACGTTGACCGGAATCTTGGTCAGAGAAAACGGGCTGGCGGGTCACATGGTTTCTGCACAGGGGACAGGTCCAGTGCCCGTACCCAACCCATCTCTCTAAACAGGCGGCGTGGAAAACGTGTCCACAGCTTTTCAGCTCCCTGATGACGTCACCCGGACTTATGCTGCACAGACAAACAGAACATTGGTCGGGATCTTGGCCGTAGCCTGTGACACGCGTCAGAGTGTGTGAGTCGATGGTATGAGAGGAGAGAGAGTAAGATTGAAGAGAGAGAAGGAGATCGAAGGCCCGTTTGATCATTTGGGAGAGGATCATGAGGTCTCTGTTTTATTGATCAGTATGATTGATTAATTGGAATCATTTTTGGGGCGAAATATATTTATATGTCGTCACAACCCACAACTCTTGTTTATTTACTATTTAGGTCTTCTTGAAATAATGGAGGGATAGGTGAGATTTAAAAAATATATTTAGGTCTTGAAATAATGGAGGGATGGGTGAGATTTAAATAATGAAGTGTGTGGGAAGGGCACGTTTTTATTTATTTCTATAAATTGGAATATTTTGTGTACACTTGACCGGATCTAATAAACTTGATGTGGAAAAAAATAGTATTTTTGCTACTTCGTTGAATAACCTTGGTGGGCAAAAAATAGTATTTTTGTTATTTCGTTGCATTGTTTTGAATTATAACTAGCGCGTAGCATGTGCGATGCACAAGATGATATATTTTCCTGAAATGTTTAACGTGTGAAATACTAAAATTAATATAATTTATATATATGTAACAAAAATAAATGGATCGCAAAGAAGGTCAAAAAATTATAAATTATTAAATACTTTCTCTATGAAGTAAAAATTTGTGAAGTTTTGATATATTTGATTATCAATAGAAAAGTATGAAATACTACTTGAGGACGTTTGAGATAGATGAGAATATTTACATAAAATATATAAAATAAATATTGAGATGATGATTTACGTAGTGTATATAAAATAAATATTAACATGATGTGAGAGAATTATGACATAAATTCGTTTAAAGGTTGAGTATAAANNNNTTTTTTTTTTTTCCGAAACGATAGAGATTTTATATAATACGCACAAATGTGTAAAAGGTCAGCCACCAGCTGAATACAAACAACTAACAACTGAAAAAGTGGGAGGACAAGTCAAAAGACCGCCTAGATAATCGACCCCAACAGGGTAAAACACAAGAACAACTAACAAACTACACACTAAGACCCCAACAGGGTAACACCAAGTGTCGGATCCCAACAGGATAATAATGTGACACTCGAGCAAACTGAGGCCAATGACCTTGACCAAAAACACAACGACCACACAATCTAAATAACAAACAAAAACACAAATCTACCAAAGAAAACAAAACAAAAGCAATAAAACTAAACGAGCCCTTCCAAAGCAGCAATACCTAACCGAACCAGCAAAAACAAAGTGACGGTGAATCCCGCAACCCGATGTACCGACCCCGAAATTGCCCAAAACCACTCAGTTGCCTAACAGTGTCGAAACCTGATCCCCGGAACAACACCAAGTCACCCCGTACCAAGACCACAACACCAGATTGCCCCAAAACGGACAAAAGTGCCACGACCCTAGCCCCAACCCCAAACCGCCTGGAAGCTGCCCACAACCACCGCACCGCTGCATCCCCACTCCGACCAACACCACTGGCAGAAGAAGGAACTCGACGACCCATGCGCCCCAAAAGCCGAGAACAGCGGGACGACGATGTTGAACAGCAGCAACGCCCCAATCGCCCAAAATTAATCGACTTCTTGAACCAAAGCTAGCAATGTTAAAATGCATTATTATTATGTCAGAATTCAGGGTTTAACATAATAATCCATCTGAATGCACTTCATGAACATTATAAAACCTCAACTTTGTGAAGTACATGTTTGTAGTTTTTAGCTGAGTACGGAATAAATTCCGACCTCAGGTCGTGTCTCTCGAGGAAGATTGTTCGAAGCTTCGTTTACTATCTAGCCGTCAAATCACAAAACTGAAAATAAGGTCCTAAACATGCTACTTGCTTGATTGGGAGTTGATTAAACTAATTTGCACTAAGAATTGAAAGCAATGGATGAAAGGTGAGAGATTTAGAAGAAAAGATTCAAACTTTGGTTGCACGGAGTCTCCATAACTCAAGAAAATGATAATAAACTAAGACAAACATGCTAGCTAAGTGATCCAAGATAATCTAACACGAGCCTTCTTAACTAAATAATTGAGCCTTGAACAAGGTCTCAATTCCTAACACACTTAGACAAGCAATGAAAATAAAAAGATCCAAAATTTCTCCAATTCAACAAGCAAAACACCAAAGTCATCTTAAAAGTCTTCATAAATAGAAATGGAAAAAACACGGAGTAACGAAGCTTAAAAGTAAGTACCCACTCTCCAATTGCATGCTCGAAGAAAATCGGAGTGAAAAGCTCGAATCTTGAATAATAATGATGTCGCCGAAAAATTTGGGTCATAGAGCTCCCAACACAAAGATAGAGAGAAAAATAAAAAGAGAGAATTTCCGAACTAAAAAGTTTGGAAATAAGGGTGGTGTTTAGAAATACAAAGCAATATGTCTTAGTTATAGTTACACGTCAAATACGCACTAGAAACACACACATTTAATGAGGGACACTCGCTTGGTAGCGAAAGAATTCGCTAGGCGAACTAGCTATGCATGCTTCGAGGCACTCTCTTGGTGGCAAACTGGTTTTCTAGGTGAACTAGTATGCTTGAACTCGCTAGCCGACGAAAGTGTTCACTAGGTGAACGGGCTACTCTCGCATACATCATCGACAGTGGCTCCGAATGGCTCAACAATAGCTCAGATTGGCTCAAAATTTCTCTATCGGGACACGTGATTGGATCTTGCTCATGTTCTCGTGACTCGGCTCGACTATTTTTTCAAGCTCCAAAGTGTTTAATCAGTAAAATATTTTCATGATTCTCAGGCCATATTCAACATGTTGTTCAATCTGCTAGCTATGATTCTAAAAGAAAATCAACTTACTTGCCCAAATTATATTGATTGAAAAAGGAACTTGGACATAGTGCTAACTGTTGAAGGGTACAAATATGTACTCACTAAGGCTTGTCTGGATGATCCCGAACAGGGGGCAATAGATCAAGAGAAAGAAGAGTATGCTAATGGAAAAAGGCTGATGAGATCGCAAAATGTTACATTTTGGATTCTATGTCAAATTTTCTTCAACATCAACATCAGTCTATGCTTACTGCAGCAGACATACTCTCCAATCTCAAGGATCTATTTGGCTACCAGTCTCTAGCTGCCAGACAGGAAGCCATAAGGGTAGTGATAAACATGTGCATGACTGAGGGCGCACCCTTGAGGGAGCATGCTCTTCAGACCATGGCACAACTCAATGAGCTAGAGGTTCTAGGGGCGTTTATCCACAAGGAAACCCAGGTTGGTATTATGCTCCTGTCTCTACCAAAGAGCTTTGATCAATTTTGGTTGAACTAAATCATGAATAAGATGTCATCTCTTCCGAAACTGTTAATACTCAGGTGTGACACTACCCTTATATCCTAACTTCTTACATCCAGAAAATAAATCCTGAAGGAAGGGGACTGTATGAGAAAACTTAAAAATTAGGGTTTTACCATACGACTCGACAAAAGAGGAAACATCGTGATCAGGGAGACTTACCTTGTGTCGTCCTTCCTCTGAGCGAGAAATGGACCCATGTGGGTTATCCAGATAGCTATCAAAGGTGAATCTTCGATGCTCTGTCACACCGACAGATTTTCCAGCGATCACGTCCCAGAAGGAATGGGGACCACTGGAAGCCGAGACCGGAGGTGCCGCAGAAAGAGTCAGAGACGATCTAGGGGCTTAGGAAAGGCCTGAACAGATACCCGTCGGGACCAGACCGGTCAAATGGATTCCAGCTACAGTCAAAGAGGCATCGGAGGCTGGCAAAACGGGTTCCGAAGTAGAAATTAGCTTTGGCCCAAGGATTCTAGCCGTCAAAACAAGCCCGCCGGAGGGCTCCTAGATTTCGGTGTCGGCATCGGAGCTAGGGCCGCCGATTGGCGACATGGTGGTGGCGAGAGCCGTCGACGGAGGGGAAGTGGTGGAGGTGGAGATTAAAGAAAATAAAGCCGCTGCAGAGAGGTTTTGCCCGCCGAGGGCTGCTGGCTTCCGGCGCCTTCGCTGGAGCTGGGGCTGCCAACTAGTGACATGATGGTGGTAGTGGTAGCTGCTGTCAGCGATGGGGCTGTGGGGGGAGTGGCAGATAAAGCCATGAAATTGAGGTCTTGCCAGTGGCGGGGCTGCTGGATTCCGGTGCCAGTGACAAGGAGGAGACGACAACCGCCGGGTGAAGGGGCAGTGGCAGTGATGGCGGACAATGAAAATGCAGGCGCTGCAGTCAGGACTTGGGAGGAGGCAGGAATATGTGCTAAGATGGGAAAGTAATTCGACTTAGGCAGGGTGAGCTGAGGGTAAGAGAGAGTGGGCTGCGAGTGTTGTGGTGGTTGGAAGTTGGGTTGGGGTTGAGTAGGTTAGTGGGTTAGAGAAAAGGTGCGCTGGAGAGAGGGTTGGCCCAAAGAAACAAAAGAGATAAGAAGGGTTAAGGGTTGAGGCCCAAAAGGGGTTCGGGCCGGCTTGTGGCTCTAAGAGATACTAGAGAGGAAATTGCCACGTCACCCCTCGCTTCACCAGACCCTACCACTTAGCCCTTGAATAAATGGTTGTTGAGGGAGCTGAGAGGTTGACCAGTCAAAGCTACAAAGAAGGCGACGGCTGGGTCTAAACAAACCTGCAAGCTGACCGGAGATTGCAAATCGATGGGAGAAACGACCAGTGATGGCGAGACGGAAAACTCTGAGAACAAAGCCAAGAAAACGGTAGCTAAAAAATACTATCGTACAATGCAGACACCAGTACACTTCAGACAAAAGGAGTGATCCAGTAGTCGGGGAGCACGAGCATCACAAGAAGCTAAGAAAGGCAGTCAAGGGAGGGAACTGATAAAGAAGGCTGGAAGCAAGAGTCAGAGATAAAGGGCTAGATAAAAGGTTTTAAGACAAAATACACCTGTCTCTCTTGTACAGCAGGCAGTTATCCCCTAGTCGGGGAGCACGAGCGTCACAGGCATCTAAGACAGGCAGTCAATGGTTGGCTTTAATCTTTAAAAAAAAAAAACGAAGTACAATACTTTGAGGGATATAAGTCTTCTATATAGCAGGTTGTTTTTACCTTTATACGATATGAAGTGGAGCTCTGGATTAAGATACTTGGCTCATCAGACCAACTCTTCAGACCCATTTTCCTGCAAGTAGTAGTCACTGCAACCTCTTGATCATACTTTCCCGTCTGAGAGGGTTAACACCCAACCGAGAAATAGAGATCCGAGTCTCTACAATGAAGATGATAGGTGTTCTACGCCTAACGATGAAGATGATATGTGTTCTACGCCTACCATCAGCATCGATAAGAGAATCGATTCTCTTAATTTCAGTCCCCTTGCGGACACCGTAGCGTCTTGGCGCCGAGACTTGATGTCCGATCTCGACTAACCAAAACACTATACCTACGCACAGGATTACGACAATACCTCCTTCGTTAATCACCGTCTCTTCGAAGTTGGCAATGCCGCCTTCAGGACCATGTCTTAACAGAGTGATGAGTTCTGTTAAGTCGTATCCATGAGATACGCACCATAAAACTACCCATTTTGGAAGCTTTACAGCTTCCTCAATAGACGGCTGAGACCCTTCTAAAGGTTTCCGCCGGCTTTGGGGGTAATGACTGAGCGGAATAAGATGTCTGCTCTGATGTTTTCTCATGGCATATATCTATTCTAAATGATCTCAGCTTCGCTTCCCTCATCAAAGGGAAGACTTTCTTCTAATTTCATTGGTTTATACAACGTTAATGTAGATGTACTAGGTGAGAATTTATCTCAGATCTTGGAAACATGATAATATATCATGAATTTTTATCCGATATGACAAAGACTTAACTCCTACTGGCACTTTTCAGTCAAAGCCCATAGGGAGAGAAGCGAAAGAAATCCGAAAAATTCTTATTTGTCCTAAGTTGATATAAAGTTGCACTGAAAACTGCAGCATATTATTCGTGTCAGCCAAGCGCAAAGTTTGAATGAATGCCATGCCTTTGCCGATGGAGTTGCATTTCGAGTGGGTGGGTCTCTTGGGCATTGAACTTGGAATCAGTTGACTAGTAAGGGTACGAACCACCGGAGCCCTGTAGACCGTAACTCCCAAACCAGTAAGTGGGAAGTTAAGTACGGTATGCCAGAACTTGCCTTACTAAGACTCCTACTCGGAAGCAAGACCGACATGAGTAAAGCAAAGTGAGATTCTTAGCTACAAAGAGATGGAAGAGGTAATTGAGAAAGGCTGCTATACCATACCTTTATTTTTATTATTATATTATACTCTAAAGGGTGCAAGGATTGTAGGGTGGTATTTTTTTGCCACACTAGCAATCTTCTCCTTGAGTGAAGAAGACCTGAAAATGGAAATGGCCGCTCCTCTGGTAGCAAGAACGTGGCGTCGACATTGCCGTGAACACCAAGCTCAGAGCACCTGCTCCTTGCGACGGGACTAGTACACCACCTGCTGTCGGTGAAAGGGCAATGCCTGGGTGGTCAAAATCTTCCAATTGAGATTTCGGTGAGCTCTCGACGGCAAGGGATATGCTTACTAGACTGAGACAAAGATTAAGAAACTAAAACCGAAAAACTAGATTAATTTGGCAACATTAAACACATCATAATAAAACAACTTTAAATACTTTTGACATACCCCATTGGAATCAATTACATCCTTTTCTTCAACACTTTGTACAAATACTCGTCCAACCAATAAACTTTTTTTTTTATCGTCCAACCAATAAACTTAAAGAGACCCTGTTACATCTCCTTTTTTTTTTTTCTTTTTTGGTACAAAGTCCCTATTACATCTCTAATTAAACGACCCGATCAATCCACACTGAAAGTGGCCGCTGCTGCAGGTGTGATAGAAAACAAAATAAACAAACATTATAATTATTATTATTATTATTACTCGGCTTAACGTAGCCACCATCTCTCACGGCCGCCGGCGGTGCAATAATTGATGACCACCAGCTCCTGGTGGATCTCCGCCTCGACTGGCGGCAGCTTCAATCTATTCCGGCAGACGGGACACGTCATATGGCCGTACCCCAACCACCTGTCCAAACAAGCCCAATGAAATAGATGCTCGCACCTCAATTCTCTCACCTCATCATCCTTGTCTATCCCGCACAAACAAACGGCGCATTCGGCCGACTCTGTGGGCCCATCAGCAACATCTTTATATCGGGCGACACTAAAATCGTCCTCGTGTTTATGCAGTATTTGTCCGAACGAGTGCTGGAAGAAGGCTACGCGGAGGAGAAAATCCCAAGCCCATTTTAGATGCATGCCAGCTAAAATTATGGAGGTTAGCAAGCCTGATTGTGGGACGATTTGGATCATGGTTGCTCTCTTAATTATGTCTGTAAAGGGCTTCAATGTTATTTTGGAAAAAAATATTTTTTTTGGTTATGCTGTTTTGAGGGTCAGAGTCACTGGCAACTGGGAAGGGAGTTATATATAGATGCCATGAATTGAATGGCACATTAAAGAATTGGATAATGGAAAATGACTCGCATAAGTTCTAGTATTCATACATACATGAAATAGTAAAAAGGGTAAATATCACTTTTAGTAGCCATAGTATGCCTTCATTTCAGGTTTGATGCCCATCCTTTCACGATCATCAAAATTAGTACCCCAAATTTCAAAAAGTTGGTACCGGACCGTTAACGAGACGTCAAATTTAACGGAGTTTGTAAGAAAATATTAAAAAAGTCTTCCATAATTAATGAAAAATTAAATAATAAAAATAAATAAAAAAAATTGATGAGGAAGAGATTTGGTTTACCTAATTTGTATTTTATATGCTTCTTTTTATTATTAGTATCTGATATGGGATACTATACCTAAATGAGCAAATTGGTCAAGTGAGTCGGTTGAATAAACTGGAAAAGTCGCCCTGATCGAGCAACATCCGAGTATGGTGATCGTGGTCGAACATCACAGTAGCAAGAGCCTCTGGACTGGAAATCAGCTTAAAGGGGATTCCGGTACATGGAAAGCAGGTCGATCCTGGACCCTTGGAGGGTCTGGTCAAAGATCGACCTGCGGCACAAACGGTCGTGTGATCAACCATTTACCAAACTCGGAGCAGTCAGTGGGTCGACCTAAACGTGATCGAGCATTAGAGCCTTCGAGGAGATCTTAGAGAAATCAAATCCCCACGTGCGTAGGACACGTGTCACGACCTGATTGGTATATATAGCATAACCGTCTCTGACACATCTCCAGTGTGTGTTGTACGACCGGGCAGGCCGGACAACTTTGGGCAGCCACCTCAGCTCGTTCGGGCAGCCTTCTAGATGCAGGTATCTCCACCTATATATAGGGGTGAGCCTTACGATTTTAGCATGACATTTCTATTATACTCTTGAGAATTGAGTAGAGCTTACATTGACTTAAGCATTGGAGGCTCTTCACCGGAAACTCCTCCGGTGTGAGAGTTTTTATAGGTACTCGACATTCTACCGGTGAGGAAGAAGAAGGAGAGCCAATTTCTAGCTGGTTGGTGTTTGACGTACCATTTTGGCGCCATCTGTGGCGACTTCGTCCGAAAGGTTATGTGCGGAGGTTTTGGAGTTATTTAGCTATGGCGAACGAGATTCCAAGAAAAAACTTGCAGTCGTCGTTCGATGACGCTTTGACGGTGGTGCTACCGTTTGGAGTTAGCCCCCCATCGGGCTTCTCCGGACCTTCTCAAACTCCGGTGACCCCAACGCCTGCTCTTCAAGGTTTCAGGAATTCATCGGCGATCCATGTGCCGGAGGTAGGCTCGAGTAAGGCATAGGAGGCTCGGGCTATGCGAACGACAGTAGTGCATGCACCGTCGCAGCCGCAGATAGCGAAACTGCAGCCTGTAGGAGCAGTGGCGCAGGTGTTGGCACCACCGAGAGAGGAGGTGCAGCGCCCTGGTCAATAGGTTATGGCGATGACAATGGAGGAGATGGAGCAGATGATGGCCAACGCGGCGGTGCACACAGTATAATAGGTCACGAACCAAACTTCACGTGCCACTACTGCACCAACCACGGTGGTAGGAGCACAGCAGAATACGGAGGAGGATGTATCGAGCTACGGAGGACAAGGAGCCCCAGGAGATCGAGAGATGGAGAGGATGGCAGAGCAGTTGCGTCAATTGCAAGCCAAGGTGGATGGTTGGCCAGTGGGGCGTGCTCGAGGACACCCGTTCTCGAGGGAGAGATTGGCGGCACCGTTGTCGGTGAATTTCAGGGAGACGAGCTTGGCATTTGAATGTAAGGTATTGACATAATATAATACAAGAGAGAAGGTGTTGATACTTCGGATGACTCTAACACCTTCCAACATTAAGTACCTATCAAATTTCAACAGAGGCAGTTTTCCCTGATAGTTTCTTATGCTATGATAATTAACAAAAGTCAGAGTCAGTCTTTATCACATGTTGATCTATTCATGAAGAAATCGGTGTTCAGTCACGGTCAGTTGTATGTAACTGATTCCTGTGTCACTAATCGAAAAAACTTGAAAATATTAATTTGCGGTGAGGAAGCACCGGTGCGCCTACAAAGCAAAAAAAAATATTGTCTAAAATGAGGTTTTTAATAATATATAATTTTTTTCACATATATTTAACTTTTTTATTCATGAATATAATAATAAGACTAGATAAATAGATTTAAAACTGTCCACATCGTGCATTGCATTAATTATGCATGGAAATTTTAATATTTTACCAATTTCCGTGAAATTGTCCCCCGTTGACGGCCGGGTACCCATTTTGATGCATTTTTCAAACAGACGATACTAATGATCTAATGATCCTGACCAGTTGCCATACTTGAAATTAAGACTTACTTTGTGTGCTAAAAGTGATATTTACCCTAGTAAAAATACTACTGAAGTTTAAAAATAAACAACTTTTGAGTGTCCTTGTGATATTTAATTAATGTAAAGGGCACTTTTAAAATATTTATCTTAAAGTAGCTATATGATGATACATAATGGTTATCAAATTAGCATTAAAACTCTATTATGATGTCCTATGCATAAATACAAGTAAAATATAAGGCATATGTAAAGTTATTACATTAAAATTTATAAGGTAGATATGAGTACATGACAATTATAAAAATGATTATTATTAAAAATGAATATATATATGAATCATAAAAGTGATGAATAA